GCGCCGCGCCGCCGCCAAGGTACGTGAGGGCAGGGCGGCCGCCCAACGCCGCCCTGACCGCAACGCCACCAAAAAAAACAAACTCCCTCAGCTTTTTGGAGGTGTCTTTAGGTTGTTTTTTATTTTTGGACGTATCTTCACCTCCGTCGCCTCTCCCGCCCCCATGGGATCAATAAATCGCGTTTGTCCCGGCTTTCTGTGGGAGCTGGTTTGCACCTGCTGGTGGGCGCCTTGGCAATGTGAGCTTTCTGCAGTTTAATTTCTACAGCGTGAAAATCTGTAGAAATCTGTAGAAATCAAGGTTCCTCGTTGCGAAGCATCGCGGGGTGGTTTAGATATGTTTTCATGCTTTAAATCCACTGAACGATGTGAATAAAATCGTCTTTTTAGCTGAAATATTGTCACAGAGTGACATGGAAATAGGCAGCAGCTTTACTTGCTAAGCCGGACATTATTCCGTACATGATTGCCCTGGGTACTCCCAGCAGTATCTGTTGAAGTGGTTCTTTTTTTTATATTTTGTTTCAATACCATTCCTGGTGTGTGAGCCTATGAGTCCAGGTTAATTGGAATGGACTTGGAAGATCAGAAACAATTTTTCACTCCTTATGATTAATCCAAAGACCCAGAGCTCACAAGACACAAAAGAAACATCTAAAATTATCCATTATGCTTGAAAATTTTAACGCGACAAGAATCAGAGTAAGCTGAGCTGCACAATTCCCTGTTTATGTATTTGTATGAATTCCTGTCAAAATGAAATACAAAGTAACAAAAATAATTACCAGAGTTTAGTAAGTCCAGGAATTAATCAAGAATATTTTTCTTCTGATTTGTCATAAATTTTCTTCATTTGCCATGAAACCGCAGTTAGTGGGACAGTGGTGGCTGTACCTGTCCTGTGGTGGCTGTCACATTGTCACTGCTGCTGAGCTCAGCTGGAAAGAAAGGACTCCTCTAATCTCTTCTGACAATTGCCAACTAATTAGAAACAAATCCTGAGGTTTTTGTGCAAGTGTTTTCTTCCTGTCAGTATTTCTCTTCTGGCAGGCATGGGGGTTTTCCAAGGGCTGCCTTATTGCTACCAGCTCAGCTTCCCTCCTTAGATTTCTTCTCAGATTGTTTTGGGATATGGTTTAGTGTGAAGTTCTGCACTTGAAATGTACCCATAGAAAAATCTATCAGTGACTTCTACTGTGACAAACATTTTCAGTGCATTTGGGCTCCTGGCGAGTCCCTGCAATTGTTGTCTCCACCATGGCAACAGAGTTGTTTATTGCTATCAACAGTTGCAGTTCTTACTTTGATCCGCTCATTAGATCATCATAAGATCCATTAAGGGTAATTTATAGGAACTTAAAGATTGGATCTCTTCCATCAGGGAGCTGTTGCTGAGTGGTCCCAGGTGGGCTTCCAGTGCCACTGTCTGCTTAGCCCTGGAACAAAAAGCTGTGCTCCAAAGGTAAAGCTGAGCAGTGGGTGGAAGCAAGTAGCTCTCACACCTCAGTCTCATGGCTCCAGCAGCTGTGTGGGTGTGCCTTGGCACACATATGGATCAAATAATCTGATTTTAATTATGAAACTTGAATTGTGTAAGAATTTACATCAAGCTCGGTGCATCCCTTTGACAGGAATAGCTGGGAGAAGGGAGCTTGTCTGGGCTCTGCCACAGCACCTGCTGTGCTGATGTGGAAAAGAGAGTTACTGTCTTCCCAAATCACTCTGTGTGCAAGACACTTCTTTCATTATTTTTGCTGATTAATATGATCTTGTGCTTAATGCTAAGAAATACATTTAAATGTTTTCTTTTTAGGATGCATCTGAACCACTCAAAAACACAGCTACTGATCCCAGTGCTGAAAACAAGAAACTCAACAAATCCCAGCAGCTGAAACAAATTTTTAAAGAATATGGTGCTGTAGGGGTTTCCTTCCACGTTGGAATTTCCTTAGTATCTCTGGGAATCTTCTACCTGGCTGTGTCAAGGTGAGGTTTGTACAGCTGTCTGTCACCTCTAAGTAGTGGTAAAAGTAAAATACACTTACCATTGTGCTTATCACTGACAGGAGACAGGCACTTTATGCTTATGGGATATGTAGTTACTCCTGAATTTTGAGTATGGATGGTCCATAAATGGACCTGATCTCCCAGGAGTGTTGTACATGGTCATTTTGCACAGGTTCATCAGCAGGGAAAACAGCAGGCACAGCACCAACATAACTGACCAGGCAGAAAATGTACTTGTTTTGCACATATCTTTTGTTCTTGCTTGGTCTGGCGAGATAGAGCCATGCAAAAGTTCTGGGGCTTTGAGATAAGTGTATTCTTCTGGGTGTTGAACACAGTTTGTGCAGTTGGACTGTGGAAAACAACAGCCAGTAGAACAGGATTAGAGTGAAAATGCGAGAGAGCCGTACAGGAGTCAGTGGGGAATTGTGTGTGTGGCTTTGTGGGAATGCATCAGTTACACGAGGCATTCCAGCTGAGGAGACAGGGGAGCCTGTGTTGTTACCCCAAACGTTTCCTGCTGCTTTTTCCTGACTCCAGTGGGAATGTGTGAATGCCTGATTTCTCCTTTTACTGCATTGTGGCACAGGATGACAACTTACTTTCCTTTAGGTGTGGTTGAATCCCTGGTGAAATCTGCTGTCTATAAATGAGTTTAGAGGAAAATGTTCATTTGAGATCCTTAACACTTCATTTAGATAATTTGTTACAACAGGAACCTCATTTGGTTTGCATTGGTCTGTGCTTAGGTGATAAATTTCCACAAGACACAGAACAGAGTTTAATGTCAAATTTGGGAAGATGAAATTCCAACACAAATTCACAGCGACTTACTGAAAATCATTCTGCAGAGAAATTTTACCTCTAGAGGCTGAGTAGGAGTTGTGACCCATTACATTCAGCAAACAACAAACCAGCACTTTGCATTTTTTAGCTTAACCTAAAGCAGGGTCTCCTGTTTCCGCAGCGGTGTGGACATGAACGCGGTTCTGTTCAAGCTGGGATTCAGCGAGGCCTCTCTGCAGTCCAGGGCAGCAGCTGGCACCAGCACCTTCGTGCTGGCCTATGCTGTGCACAAGCTCTTCGCCCCCGTGCGCATCAGCATCACCGTGGTGTCCGTGCCCTTCATCGTCCGCTACTGCCGCAAGGCCGGCTTCTTCAAACCGCCCGCCTCCAGCCCCTGAGCTCTTCCTCCTCCTTGTTCTCCTGTTCTCCGTCTCCACCTGGCTCTTCAGGTGAAGTTTTGGTAAAAGACTTACTTGGGTCCAGGTTGATCACATCTTGCGTTTCTTACTTGTTCTTTCAGGTAAATGTCACTGTGAAAAGTGCTGCCCTTGTCTCCCTTCCCTTTTGCCACTTATTCTTAGGAAAAATCTGTTCAAATGGGATCTGGTTTGTACTCCAAGTGGGAATATAAATGTTTGACAATGACCACAGTTCTGGGTCTTTATAATCCAGCTTTTTGAGCCTCTATTTTTTTTTTCTTTTCAAAACAGAGTCATAGCATTAATTTATTACCATGTAGCTGAGAAACTGAGATTATCTTTCCAGCAGAATAAACCATCTCTCACTCCATGGGTAGTTCTCTTGATAAGGAATCTAAAGTGGCAGATGGGTGTTCCTTGGTTAGAAGATAATTTTATTGTAGCCCTTTCAGTACAACACAGGCACTGAGCTCACTTCAGGAGTACCCATATAATTAATTATTGCAGTTACAATTGGTTTAGTCACAATAGATGAAGCACTCTTCTAAAACTATGTGTAGTGCTTCCATAGTCCAAGATTTTATTGTTTAAAAATTTGCTGGCTGGTGTCAGAATTACTGAAGTCCTTTTGTTTTTTAAATGTTTATAGGCTCAGAAGAAATCCTGAGTCTACTAAAATCAGTGTACCTTGAATTACCTATGTGAACATACTTCAAACAGAATCAAGGCAGAGAGAATTTTACTATTTTGAGATCTAGTTTTGTACTGGAAACACTTTTTTTTAATCTTAAAACTAACCCCAGCAGCTTTCTGCTCCTGTGGGTGAAACTCAAATCTGCCCCTGAAGTCCAAGCATTCCAATTCCCAGCTTCCCAGGAAGAATTCCTGTGCTTTGTCTGAGACCTTTGAATGTAGCAATGAGAGGGTTTTGCCTTTCCTTATGGGGATCTGTGGTGTTAGAATGTAGTCAAGAGATCTGGATATCCACATTCCACCTTTGTTAACGGGAAGATTGATCCCAAAACAGATAATGAGTGTCACACTGGGTAAGCCTGGGTTTTGGGCTCAGGCCTGTGCTGCTGTGGGAGTTTGAGCAAGAGCTGGAGCTGTTTGGGACCTGCTGGCTGCTCTTTTCAGAATTATCTTTGTGCTTGCACTTATCCCAAGGTGGCTCTCACAGATCTGTGCATACAGAGTTCTGATTTAAGTAAAATAGCCAGAGAATACCCTGATGCTTTTTATTTTTGCTAAAACTTAGTGAATAGAGAGGAAGGAATCATGAAGTTTTGATGGGAGTTGGTTGAGGAAGGAAAGGAGGAATAAATAACTTCTTGTTATGAGCAGCCTCTTGCATCCCCTCAGCCAGAACATTAAATTGCACCTTAACTCCTCCCCACAGAAAGTCACAGGTTTCATGTGGACCAAGGATAAAAATTCCAAAATAACTCTAAGGCAGCCTTGTTTACTTCAGTAATAATAATTTCTGAGAAAGATGTTTTGTCCTAAAGGTGATAGAGAATATTCAAAGTTTCATTTTCAAAATCATATGTAAAGCTGAAACCATTTAAAATATATGTACCTAAAAAGCCAGAAGACACCAGTACTAAACTGGAGTTTTCTTGCTGTGAAGAAACAGCTTCATATAAATTATGGCCAGAATTCTAATTACTTATATGGTTGTATAAACTACTGGCAGTTTTAGATGAAGTTTTTTGCAAAGTGTATTTTAAAATAATTCAAGAATATATTTTGAATTCCAGAATCCTTGCTTGTAGAAGGATCATTTTTTAAAATTATTTGTAAAATAGCAAAGTCTTATACTGAAAAGACAATAAATTGCTTTCTCTTCTTGCTTGAAGTGTTTTACTGGTCTTGCTTTTGGTGGCAAGGGGCCTGACCCTTGGTCCATTTTAAGGAATGTGTTATAAAGATCCTGGTGTTATTTGCTGTTACACAACATCATCTGAAAATACTTCTGAGAGAAAGAGATGCAAAATGTTATCAGATGGGAGATCTTCGAATAAATGCACTGGAAGAAGGACAGAGCAGGCCAAGCAGGTTAAGTGGCAACACACTTGGTACTGACCTTGTAATTCTAAGTTGGGATTGTGGGATGGTGAATGACTGTGTGGTTTGAGTTTCATTTTTGAGAGGTGGGAATTCACCTCTGGGATCAGGAGTCCAGCTGTGCTGGTGTTGGAGCCAAGCAGAGCCAGAGGAGCCTCACCCTGCCAGGTGCAGTGTAACAAGTCTTTATTTTACAAATTGAGTACTCACATTTAAAACTAGAGACACAACCAATTGCCACATCATTCTTAGAACACTGGAAAAAGGCATTCACCTCGCTCAGTTTCAGGTTGCACCACAGGTAAGACACCCTGAGCAGCCCAGGGAGGGAGGAGCAGGCATCTCCAGGATATTGCACTGTTCCATAAGCCAGAACAACTTCCTTGTGGTGGAACAACGAACCATTTTCAGCACAGACCACAGCACAAGAGCCTCCAACAGCTTCATACTTACATCAGCAAACCTGGCCCACATGGAACTGATTTCAAGTACATTAAATATTCCACAAGCTCCAGCTAGAAAGTCAAGTAACTTTATGCTGCAATTAGAGTTTAAGACACCAGCCAACCCAAGGATTTTCATCCCAGTTGCCACTAGATTCCAAGACCTGCTTTTCCTATTGTAAGCATTACAGTAGTCACAGTACCAGGCTCCTCTTGTTGATCCCACAAGTCACCCTCCTAAAACTATGTTTTGGATGGGGCAGCACCACCACTCTTCCTGCTGGTGGGAGTCTTGGTAGAGTTTGCTGTGATCCAGGGATGGATAAGTACATCCTTCAGGGGCAGGCGATGGAAGGGGTTATGCTTCAGGAGCTTGGAAATTAAATCCCTCGCCCCTTCTGTTACAAATGGAGGAAACTTGAATTCCACCTAAAGAAAAGAGGACATTAAAAATTAGGCAGAAGTCCTTCAGCAATAATCAAATGTTATTCAGAATCAAGGGTCTCTACTCAACCTCCAAGTCACACCTTGAAAGCTGTGCCAGCCTGGCAGGCTGTGCACCTTCTGCCTACTGAGATGAGATCAAATCACTTCACTATAACCCTGAATAAGCTTCTCACTGCTTGTCAAAATATTTGTAATTGTTGTGTTTGTTTTCATTATGCTTCAAACTTAAGTTTGCTGAAACCTTTCTAGAGCTAAAAGCACAGTCCAGTTAACCCTGATAAGCACTGGCACTTACCCTGGAAATAGCTCTGTAGGTTTCTTGATAGGTTTTTGTTTCAAAAGGTGGTTTCCCTACAAGGAATTCGTAGCACAGAACTCCCAGGCTCCAAATGTCCACCTTTTCATCATGTGTTCTTCCTTCAATCATTTCAGGAGGCAGGTAGTCAAGTGTCCCACAGAGAGTTGTTCTCCTGAAGAAAAGTCCAAGTTAATCATTGATTAAGATAATTCTAGGATATCTTTCAAGGGCCAGATGAGAACTAATGCTGGCAATTACCTGTACCCCAGTGCAGTCCACCTGAATGGACTCAGCCCCACCAGAATTTTCAGCTGGGAAGGAAAAGCCAGCAAGACATTATCTGCTTCTCCTGAAAGCAGTCCCTGCAATCAGTCAGTCCCAGCTCCTTTCTTCACCCCACACACTAGAACAATTCTGTTCCTCCCTTGTCAAGTGCAGTTCCCCACTCTCTGAGAAATAACCAAATCGCCAGGGTAATGTTTGAATCCAAGTGCTGGTTTGTCATCTCAGGGGCCATGACAACCCTACACCAACCTTCCCTTTCAGGGTCAGCAAGGTTTGACCTGAAAGCAGGATAACAACACTCCTGTCACACCACTGTCTGTTAGGGCCTTTGTTGCAGCAGCCTTTTCCCCCAGTAATTCAAGAAGTTCCCATGTACACCCCTTCCACAACTGTGTGCCACAAGAACTGACACTACAGAGGGACAGCACTGCACAGGAGATTGAATTCTCACCGAGAAGATGGAGCATGCACAGACCACCCGAAGTCAGCAATTTTTAACTCTCCATTTGATCCAAGCAGCAAGTTCTCTGGCTTGATGTCTCTGTGGATCACACGCTTGGAGTGACAGTACGAGAGGGCATCTGCAAGTTCTGTGATGTACTGGGTGCAGAAAGAACAATCTTTAAGCCATTGTCACCTGAGTTTATCTGGCTGCAGCACAGCCTTTTTGAGACATAATTATAGTTTTAAATTAAAGCAAATATTCCTTAACCCTTGAAGCCTGGCAATACGGGCTCTGCTGTGCAATGTTAAGGAATTCTGAACATAAATTCCTGCACTGCACTTAGTCTTCCCAATTATTCCCTGCCCAGATACCAACTAGCATAGCTAAGGAATCTCAGTTTCCCCCGTTAGAATACAGAACTTGGGCTGGCTCTATCCTGCAGATATTCCAGACACACAGAGGAATGGAGAGGAAGCTGAACAACCTACAGTAGCAGTTCTTTGCTCATCGAACTTGGTGAGCCTCTGAAGTTCCCTGTAGACTTCTCCACGAGGTGCATGCTCCAGGATCAGATAGACTCTTGTCACATCATGGAAGTAGCCATATAATCTGAGAATGTTGGGGTGCCTGCAAAGAGATTTCAATGTTCTTCTGAACTGGGAGTTTGTCCAGAATTTTTGATTTCCTGTCCTGCTTCCCCCCAGTTTCAAGGCAAGCACAGGAATTTCAGCTCATCTGCGTTCCTTCAGCTCACAACACACAAAGAAATCTTATCATAAAGAACTTTATCATAATCAAGGTTACTTTGTTTATTTGGATGTGAACAAAGCAGAGTAAATACTCACTAAATCTTACCTAAGATGAGACTGTATTTCCACTTCCCTTCGTAGCTGATGTTCTACACCAGCTTCCTCAAGTTGTGTTTTAAAGAGCACTTTCAGTGCAAGAATAAATTTGCTCTGTTTTTCACGTGCCAGGTACACATTCCCAAATTTTCCTTTCCCCAGAGGGCGACCAATTTCAAAATCATCAAGAGACCATTGCCTTCTGCAGGAGGAAAGTTAAAAGCTTGTTAGTTGTGTTGGCTTTGACTCAGATTTACAGTTCATAACATTCCTGTACAAAAGATGCTTAGGGCTCTAAGCTAGATTGTACTCTTGAAGAAAACACCAAGAGAATAAAGGCTTTGAGATTTTTCAAAAGGAAATTCTGAAAGCTATTTTCTTCCTGGAGCTTTAGCAGACACTACACCAACCACACTACTACAAAATGAAGACTGTCTACCAAGCTGGGCTCCTTTAAATACTCCAGACATGTTGCCAGGGCATGGCAAAACAATTTTTAATTGCCAAAAAAAATCCTATTTCATCCCAAATTAGACTCCAGCCTCCTGCCCAGATGAAGGAGGCTTTGTTTTCAGGACTATATCTCATAAATGGGGCAACAGCTATCAGTGTTCTCCTATGGGAAGAGCTACTCTGCATTTAGTCCAAAGTTTTCTTGGGATTACAGCAAGTCCTTGTTCCTGACAATTATCAGGTCAAAGTCGGCTTTCCTTGTGTTGTGTCTGCAAAGTGTGGGGGTCACCAGGCTCCACAGCCAAGGCAACTCCAGCAGGGCTCAGTTATCCAGAACTCAGGCATAAAACTTACTTTTTAGTTTCTTCACTCTTCTTTTCAGTCTCTTCAGTTTTCTTCTTGACACTCTCTTCAGTTTTCTGTTTAGAGGTGCTTTCTGCATCAGGATTTTTTGCTGTGTACAGAGAAGGAAATCAATTTACAAACCAGACCCACAAAAGGGAACAGATCTAAGCCCTGTGCATCATCTGAAGCTTTTAGAATCCATTCAATGACATTTTAAGCATCCTAGCATAGCTACTAGGAAAGAAACAGTGGTGATAAAATATAACTTAAAAAGCTTTCTGAGAATAAAACCCCATGAATTCTTTCCCCCTCCCCAAACAAAAGTATTCTTGTGCATGAATCTTGGAAAACCTGTGAGGTCTGAGTGGAAATTACATTAACTCCCAGCTGGCTGCTGAGCACTTGGAAGTTATTAACACCATACTGGCTTTAATTGGTTAATTTAGAGATAACTTCACAAGGATGGTGTAGTAACACTCCAGGTGAACCATGTGCTGATTTTCTCTTTGGGGGCACAACCAAGAACTTCTCTCCAGGACTTTCCCTGGATCAGCAGCAGCTTTAGGAGTATCCCGAGCATCCCAGCTGCGGTCACACGTAAATCATGCTCAGAATTACCAGGTGCTGCAGCCTGGGGAGGTTTTTCACTGCTCTTGCTTGCAGCCTGAGGTGTCACAGTGGCCTGGGGCAGTTTGGGTCGGAGCTGCTGCGTTGTTTGGTTGTTGGACAGTTTTTGGGTTGAGAGTACAGGTTTTTGGGATTGCACAGGAACTCGCTGGGCGAAGTTTGTGGGGCACAGAACACGAGCTGGAACTCCACTGGTCAGTAACCGGCTCTGGGCTGAGTGCTGGGACACAGGGACACGTTTGGGGCCATCTCCAATGGCATTTCCAACCTTCAAAGGGAAAGGAGAAAGTGTTAATAGTGCAACAGCACACCAGAATCTTTCTAGCCCCATTAGGGATGGCAAAATCACAAAAAGCACTAAAAAAAACCAAACAACCACACACTGAGTGGTTTATTAAAAGGAAGTTTTGCTTATCCTGTTCCAAAAACTTACCAGACCTATTTAGTTTTATGTAAAATAGTTAGAAAGCACCTGTATTTCTAAATGGAAAAAATACATAATCAGGGTGATCTTAAGGCCTGCTGCATACGTGTGTCAATAGTGACACTGACACAGAGCTTGCTTTTAAGAACCATATCTAAAATAATTGGATTATACACACTAGCTTTCCCTTTAAATGCTCTTAAATACTTAAAATATAAAGAGGATTTCCCCATTTAATAAAATATGCAAATACGCTATACTGACTATTAATATATTAGCATTTATTAGCGATCATTAATGATTTCTATAAATATAATTAATATATAGTATATTTTATAAATATATCTTAAAACTTTAAAAGCCAGCTCTGAAAGATAAGTTACTAGTTTGAAACCTGTAGTTAATATGTGATGGAGAGAAACGCACCCACCAAGTAAAAACTAAAAACCGCCATCCCCGAACCGACCAGGATTTTAATGGCAAACTCCCAGGGAGCGAGACCAACAATCCGGCAGAGGGAAGTGCTCAGGATCACGAACACAAACCGCGCATTTCACCCCTTTACCTTGGCAGTGCGGCCGGGGTACGCGGCGTGGTTCTCCTTCGTGTTCCTGTCCATAGCGTGAGAGCGGCACGCACAGCTCCGGCTGCGGGCGAGAGGGAGCCAAGGGGGGGGGGTCAGTGCGGGAGCACAGGAAGGCTCGTGTCCCTTATCAATTACCATTCCTTATCGATAGCTATCCTGTACCAATACCCCCCTGCCCACCCCATCGAACCAGGCCCCGGCGCTCACCCCTGACCCGCCACCTCAGGGCCGCCGGAACTGTTTGAATTCAAACCGCCGCGCCTTAAATACCCCTTTAAACCCTCGCCGCCCGCCATTGGCCGCCCTCCCGCGGCCCGCGCACGCTGATTGGCTCCTGCCGCGG